CTTCTCTCTCTCTCTCTCTCTCTCGCTTTGTTTCTGATAAATAGCGGAAAAAAAAAATGGAATGCTGAGACTGTAAGATGAGCAAAATGATTGCTTGAAGAGACCTTTGATCGCTGATAGTATCATTTTTTCAGAAATTCTTTTACGCTGTGTAGGATAACTTCAGCAAACTATAAATTATAACTTATAATGCTCCCATATTTTTTAGTTTGTTTTTACTACAGTCTTCAATTTCTTTCTGTAATTCTCGAATTGAATTTGAAAACGAAAGGAGTATGGAAGAAAATAATTTATCAAAGTAAATTAACATTAAGAAGCTTAGGAAATGAATTTAACTTATGCAAATAAATTAACATTATGAAACAACATCTCTTTGCAGACCTAACAATCTCGCCGGATCATTCAGTTCCACATCTTGAAGTGGTCGATGAAGTCGTGCAGCCAACTAAAAATTAGTAATTTTTAAAGGTAAAAAGATGGTCGGTTTTTCAGTAGATGAAATTATTATATTCTGTACATTTACAACGAAAGAAGAAATCCATAACTACGATACGACAAATTTCATGGAAAGAAAAAGAAAAATCCTTTCTTTCCTCAATCACTGAAGAATCGGAAACACCGAATTTCACTTCCATCAAAAGCAAAACATGTCAAATAATGTAAAGATAATAAAAAACGTGAAAATTACTTTTTCGTGATTATTTCGGTCCGTTCAGGAAGATTAGGACTAGATATATATACATTGTTACCGTAAGATTTTTTCAAGAGTGTTGTTAAAAAAGAGGAAAAATATAATCCATTCTTAAAAATTAATAGGGAAGTGCAAAACGTGAAAACAACTATTTGCTAGTCGGTAATAGGAAAACTTAAATTACTGATGCGCAGATATACGAAAGTTTTCACTCCGTCATTTGAAAATCTAACGGAAAAGAATGGAATCTGGAATTCTGATTATAAGAAATATTTTATTGTTAATTATAAGAAAACCAACTTCAATGGAATTCACATGCTTTACTTCCCAAGCTCGTCGGACAAATGATGTCATCAAGCATTTATGCAAACTCCCAATGCGACCAATTCGACCGCATCGATGGACGTAGTCCGAAATCTGCCGTGGAAAATCGTAATTAATGATATGCCTCAGCTGAGGAAGGTCCAAACCCCTGAAATCTTCATAAAGAATAAAACTCGATAGATTTTGAGACGCAATTTCCGTATAGTCTAAAAATGCTTTCTTCATTGAATATTTTACACATTTCCTTCCACTTAACTTTCCAGCGGTATATTCTAAGTTTTCAAGGTCATGTTAGGTTCTAAACAAATCAGGAACAAATACATTCGAAAATAACCACGCAGACGTCTTCGGATTCCATTTTGTACCTGGTTAAATATCATGCGATCATACTCTGATTATAGCCAAAAGTATTCAAAGTTTAGAAATACCTGCTAGCAACATCCGTTGCTATGATGATACGCACAGCACCACTGCGTAATTCGTCGATCAGCTGTTCAATTCGACGACCTCCACTCAAAGAAGTATGTTCAATACCCATTTCCCTTAATGACCTTGACACCAAGCCTACATTTTTCAAATTCTGAAACAGAAAATTATCAGCATTTTGCAAGAAACCACAAGATAGCATATTGATTGTAGGCTGGATGCGTCGAAATGCAAAATTATAAAAATCATATTAGAAAAAGGGAAAGTACTTGCTAAGATATCAAAATCATTCAAAAAAAAGAATCATATGATAATGGATCTTTGAAATCTAACCTTGCAAAAGATTAAAGTTTGGCCGTGTGGAAAAGAGAGCCCTTTTTCGAGTAGCTCCTTCAATTTTTCTAGTTTGTCTATTTCTCTGATTCTGATGAAAGTTTGCTTTATGTGAGGCATAATGCGATGCAAGTTTTCAGTTTTGACACAGTATAAATATTCATAATCCACTATACTCTCAGCAATCAGTTGTAATTGGTCAGGATATGTAGCGGATGAGAAAATAAGGCGTACCCCATCTCAAAATTCAACAAACGAGAGTTTTTTTTTTAATAAAATGCCATTAAGGAACTCGAAAATCTGAAGGAACAATAAAATAATGTTGAATATTTTCAATGTTATTAAAGTATTTCAGCATTATGTAATATGTTACGTATGTAATGCATTATAATATATTTTCTTACACAATCTAAATGAAATCTCATCACAAAGATCCCAGGAAAGAGCAAAATAATACATCCTTCAGTTTGTTCCGTTCAAATATTACGGACCTTTAAAAGCAACTGCAAACCTGTAGCATTCTTATCGATCACCGAATGTCGTATTTTAAGAGGACCAAGTAATCTAATGATATCATTCAAAAAACTGTCATCGAGCAACATATCGGCTTCGTCCAAAACGATATAATCGATATTGTGAGGTGTGAAGAATTCAGGAGAAAAACTGGGTGTGCTGACGAGGATATCCCAATCCTGTAATCATAAAAAATAAGTCATAATATAGTGCATCATCGAGTCATATTTCGGCTTTAACAATAGGGAAATTAGATTTGACGAATTTTGTTATATTGGACCAGAAAATTATTAACATTTTTTCATTTCGCTCTGAAATATGTAATTGTAAAGGACTATTTTGAGTTATTTTCAGATTTTTTAAGCCATACCTCCTCGCTTCGCCATCTCTCACTACCTCCAACGATTTTAATATTGGTACCTTCGGCAAGTTTGCTGATCATGAGTGAAGTTTGCATCCGCAATGCATGCGTAGGAACTAGCACAACGCCTATTAAAAAGACAAGAGTTAGAAAAATTAACAAAGTTTCTCTTAATGAATGAGTTAATTATGGACATAACACGAAAGTCCATGCACGAAAATCTATGTTTTGCAATACCTTCAGCGGAAAAAAAAAAGCGAATTCCAATAGTTATTGACTCCTTTATAAGTTACCTGTAGCCAACGAAACCTAATTTTACATTCATTCTTGAACAATAATAACAAAGATGACGATTAAACTCAACAAGGAAAAGCAAACCTTTTGCATGTCGATTCACATTACGCAATAAAGCAGACAACAGTGGCGCAGCATATGCTGCTGTTTTACCTGAACCTGTTTCAGCAGCTATAAGAAGATGTGCATCACTTTTGAAGGCTCGGAATGCCCGACGCTGCAAGTTTCTAAGAAATTAATTTTATTACAATGAAAAAAAAAAAAACCCAACGTTATTATATTTGTAGTGATATCTCCAACTGATTTCGAATAAAATCTGAAATCGAATTACCGGAATATTTTGAAGTGATGACAGTATGTACCTGTATGACTGTTGGTACGCGAAAACCAAGTTTTCGGGCATTCTCGATGATTACTGGATCAAGCAAACTTACATTTTCATCCCAGGAAAACGATTCATCACGGTTGAATGATGGGTTCTGAAAACCAAACAAATCGTTGGTCTTTGATTGATTACATACTTGCAAGATATATAAAAATAATACAAAAATTATCAATAGCAACAATATCCCTACCATTGATGTCGTCTTTCAGGAAGATAAAGACTGTTCTGTCCTTATCCTTCCAGATTTGACGAAAAAAGTAATACTTAAAGAATAAGCATATCAAACTATTCAACTATTCATGTATAGATATTACCTTTCTCATAACTGGATGAATAGTAAACCAATCATTCTTATATTTGCTTTTTACCCAGTATGTGCTTGCCAATAGTATATTACCGGGAGGATATCGCATACCTTCATAATGATTATATTCCTTTCTAGCACAATCTAAAAATAACCCATTTCAGCACTCAATAATATGACCAGAAGAAAAATTTTGGATTGAGGGAGATAGTATACATTATTAACAATGATATTGTTCGGCTTTGCATCAGTTAGTCCTCGTTTAGACTCCACTGAACTGACTCGAACTACAATCGATCCTGTCATTTCTCATGACTTTTCTTCCAGCACCACTGAATTCACAAATTTTCAAGCACTTCATTTATGAATGTAAAATTTAGAGAACAATACTGACTAAGAAGAGAACAGATTTGATTCTACCAAACATATTTATAAATTTTTAACAGAGAAACTAAAACAGATAGATTGCAATTTCTAACTAGCAAACGTTATCGAAGAAACGAACCAATGAGGACTTTTGATGTACTTCGATCCACACCATACAACTTCTCATATTCCTGCTCAGCTTCTCTTTTTTTCCGTAATTTTCTTCGTTGTTCTCGTCCAAATGCTACTGGTTCTGTGATTACAGGCAATTCTCTGAAAGATTTTAAGAATTCACTGATACCATCGGGTCATTTGTTCAGTCCCGGATATATTCCGGAAGCAATATCCTTCGGCAATAACCCTGTGTGTAATAACTCTCGTTTCTCTTCGGTACTAATTCGCATAAATATGTTTCTCTTGTACAAGTGAATTTGGCTCAAAAGTTTCGACCATGACGAACTGCCAGAATTTCAAAGACTAAAATTTAGTCTAAAATCAAACCAGTAAAAAGTGAAAATTTCAAGTACCTATTGCTTTCCCTGAATTTCGACCGCAAAAAACTAGATGTCCAGCCGACGTCTTCCCCATCTTCGTCCTCTTCGAATATGGCGCCTTCTTCAGAAGCACCACTTGCTTGCTTCGGACCGTGAACCATTTTGAACGGTAAAAGTTTCTTTCCAAATGAACTCAATGTGCCGAACTATAAAATAAAAATACCCGAGTTTTTTGGAGCCAATCAACAAAAATTCAAAAATTTTGCGAAAGTTTTTAAACTAAGAAAAATTTCTACCGTATCAGCCGGTTTTCTTCGTTCATTTTTTCGATGGTTTATCGTATGGGTATTAGCTGATGGTTGATCATTTGTTGAATTCTTGCTCGTTCCAGCAGCAGTTAAACAAAGTCGAGAAGATGTCTGAGTAGCAATAAACTTCGAACATATGCGCCGCATCTAACTTCTATCCATCCAATTCTGGATATTCATTTACCTAAACATTTGTTAACCTATTTACATTCTTCATTATTACTAGTTAATCTACTAGTCTACTACTACTTATCCGCTAGATAATTTATTTGTTTATTAATGTTTTAATAAATAAAGCTGTACGACTAATTTCTTTCCCATTTACTAGTTCTAATACAGGTTCGTTTAAAAATTGGATTAAAGTGATTGTTGATCTTTTAAGTAAATCGATCATTGTTCGACATTTGCACAATACTTTTTATCTCTTTTGGTTTTACATCGATCTTTGATCCTTTTTCATATCACAGAAGATGATTATATCGATTTCTGATTCTTTTTTCTTTCATTTGTTTTATTTACTTAAATTCTTAAATCCAACTTCCTTACTTTCAAATAGAATTTACTAACTTAGGTTTACTTATCAATAATATTTTTACTTTAATTTTACTTTTAAATAGAAAAAAAAATGGATGCTTATTACGAGATTTGTTAAAACGGAAAATTAATTCGCATAAAACTAAGCAATCAACAATATGTAGTCAGAAGAGTTATTTAATAATTAAACATTCGAAACAAATTTCAAATTATTTTAAAGTGAAACGATATGTCAGCAAACTGAGTGGATAGATGAATATTTAATCCTTCAAGAAATTTAATGTAAAAACGAATAATTATTTGCCGTCTTAAGCTTCCAACAATGTTCCCAATTGCAGAAGTGTCATTTAGAATCATTCAAAAGCTAGCTGATAACTTTTTCTCATCAAAAGACCCAATGCCTCTCCAGGAGAGTAATCGAATGCCACCCAGATCCCTAGTTTTGAACCCTATCTAGATCTCTAATTTAACCCTATTTACCCAAACTTCTAGTCTTGTCTAGATCTCTAGTCCTGAACCCTATCTAGACTTTAAGCTTCGAACCTCATCTACCTTAACCTCTCAACCTGAGCACATCTACACCTTCAGTCTTGAACCCCATTGAGATTTCTAGATGGCGGGAATCTCTCACCTCTCGGAACTATTCGTCTCACCTCCCTCCTCACTCATAATAACCACGCTCACTTGAATTCTCATTATTTCGCAAACTGAATCCAGCAACTTCACAACAAAACCTTGATTTGTCTTGGATCTATCACTAAACATCAAGTCTAGAACCCCGCTAATTCGGGTATTACAACTGCTTCCTAGTAATCGGTAACTGGTAATTAGCGGCCATTTAATACTTAATGATTAATAACTGTTAGCTATTGATCGCTGGTGATTTCAACTTTGTCTAAGAAATAAGGAATTTATTTTAAATATTTGCAGTAGTCAAATTGATGCTTTTTCTATGAGCTATTTATAACAGGAAGATATACTTCTTCCTGCATTAATACTGCTTTTTATGGTTATAATGTACTTATCAGTTAATTGATTAGGAAAAATACGTAACGTAACGGAAATGATTGATTAGGAATAACGTACGTAACGTAACAGATATTGACTTGTTCAACCCAGCAAGTAATGATTTTTTAAAGAAATAAGGACTTATTTGGCAAATGATAGCTTACATTGCATTCATTTTAACAACAAACGATTTATTTGACAAAGAACATTTGCGCTTTAAGTAATGATTTGACCATTTATTCATTCACCAGACAATAATAATCTTGCCTAACTTTTGAATAATATCAAGATGAATTTGAACGGTAATAATCGTACTGTGCGAAAGAAGCAAACTCATAAAGTGAAGAAAAAGTTGCGACGATTGCAAAATGCGAAAAAGTTGAAACGATATATGGTAGATGCAATTAAAGATGTTAACTTAAGGAAACATGCGAATGCCCGAAAACGAGCTATTAATGTAAGTTACGATTGCTTCATATGTTCGGGATAAGTTGCAGGTAAATGAACTTTAAATAAATGCGTTTCAAACGGATAAATTTGAGCAAATGAGATGCAGGTGATTTCAGCTTTTTAAAAAAAAAAAAAAACAGTAGATGACATGTCATTACATGTTATATTCATGCAATCGGCTTGTGAGTACTTTTAGTTGAGTACTTTTACTTTTACGTTAGTTAACTTTAATCAAGTGTTAAATGAGTTACAAATAATTAGAATTGGTTGTTAGAACATTAAAAGTGATTCTACACAGCCTTGAATTTTGATTCTAATTAGTCCTAATAACCATGTTATAGTTTATGCTTTTATGACAAAAGTTTTGAAATTCCGCAAGTATTTCGTCATAATCTCAATCCATTAACTTTTTATATTTTTGGGGGACAGTCGTGTGCATATTGTTTTGTTTGTACTTCATAACATACAGAATAGTTCGTTTGCATTTTAGATCGAGGATGACTGGTGTGCCGATCGTCAAATTGTAGCTGAAAATGAAGCAGATGATGACATTCTTCCGTTGGATATGCTTGATGCAGATATCGATTGGGAGAACAGTGCATTTGCTTCAAAAATTAGACGTATTGAAAAAGGTTTGAAATTGAAATTGATATGAAGAAATTTATTCCCGACTATTAGCCATACGAAGTATTATAACGTTCATTTGCAGAAAATGGTACTCTTTGAGGTATTTTACATCCCAAGACATGAAAATACTTTAATCTATTTCTCACAATAATTAGCATCATTATGAGGAAAAGGATGCAAAAGGTGGGAATTGTTAATAACACCGCAGTTCATTTTTGATTTATCTATCGTTGTTTCATCACGGAATAAAGTATTCTTCGTTTTCAGCTAAAAATGATGCTGGAATTGACGATATCGAAAGCAAAACACGTAAATTTCCTGGGACATTGGATGAGAATATGCGAGAGTTATTGCCCATTAAAGTGGGTGCCAAAGTAATAAGGCAAACATGTAGGAAAGATGAGTTTGAATGTAGTGGTGCGTTTTTGATGTCTAATATTTCTATAATGTTGCTCATCACCATTATCATATCGCATTTATTACTGTCAGCCAAAGTTCTGCAATTCTTCCAAAAAAAATGTTGTATGTTTAATTCACATTTCCAATCTTTTTAGAAGACATAAAAAATAACCAGGAAGAAAATGACGATAATCAAATTGATTTGTCTCAGTTGAGTGCAGCAGAGTTGCTAAAATTATGCCACGATCATGTGGAGGAAGCAAAAAGTAGAATTAGCAATATAGCACACTTAATTATTGCGGATCCTCATACTGAGGTAAGATTTTACGTACCCAATGAATTTCTCTTGAATTGTGGGGTCAAGATAGAGAGAAGAAATATTCACTATTAGATAAGTTGAGAAGGTGCGTGATAAAAAATTGTATCACATATGTTAGAATTATGGTAAAGGATAGGAGCTGGGAAGTTTTTTAAGGCATAATTCATTAATGTCTTTGAAAAAAGCTTCTGTTTAAGATTACGCATTCTTTTATGTAGGCTTCGTTTTTAAAGAACGGGAAAGCGACATGCACTTGTGTTATAACATTCTCCACCTAAAATTTCAAAAACTTTCTTAAAAATTTCAGGTGCACAAATTGAAAGAATTGCATTTATTGTCTACAGGCAAAGATGTTTTTTCACTGGCTCGTGAAACTGTGACAAAACTTGCAATTGTTTCATTGGCTGAAGTTTTTGTGGATATAATTCCCGGTTATGCTATAAGGTTGATAAAATTATTACATCTCCTGTAGATTTTTTTTTAAGGTTATAAGTGTCACCCTTTGTCTTTGTCTGGTTTTGCTGGCAGAAAACGTTAGTATTGGTAATTTTAGGCCTCATACGGAAGAAGAGGTGGTTCAGAAACTTAAAAAAGAAACGAAGAAGTTATATGATTTTGAGCAGACACTTCTACAATACTATCTGAAGTATTTACAACATTTGGAAAGCCATGCTGGTAGTAAGTGAATATTTTGATATATTTCCATATTTAAATATTGTAGATTTTTCGAATATTTTTCATTATTTTAATGAATAGATAGTACAAAAACTTTTCCAGAAGTCTAAGTGCTATTCTTTTTTCTGCATTTTACCACTTACTAGCTGAAGCGCGGTGCTTTCAGTGAAGGGAGAATCTTTATTGATCATTCCTTTAAAATATTCTCACCAAAAAAAAAATACTGTTGACTATTGTTTGCACATTTTTAAATTTGTTTGCACAATTTTAAATAAATGAAATTTTTTAGAGTTATTAAAAGCTTCCAAACAACCGAATAGTGATCTGCCTATCCTTTGCTTGAAATGCCTTTCACGAGTTCTTCTGTCTGCGCCTCATTTCAATTACGCATCAAATATAATCAGTTTTGTAGTTCGCATAGCCACTTCAAATTCCAAGGTGGTAAGCTCTTTATACGTATCACTATCCTCAATTTGAATTTTTTTTAGGACCATTTATATGTTGTCTTTCCTTTCAAGTCTTACCATGGGTCAATTCAGTTGTTGTAACTTAATTCCTGTAAATGATGGAAGCTTTCTTTTATCTTATTGTTAGGCTATCGATATATGTTGTTCTACACTGGGTGATTTGTTTCACAACGATTTAAACTTTCGAATATCTGCTACTGCAGCGAGATCTATTGCATCTATTGTGAATAAGAAAAAAGGCAACGTACCACCAGCACTGATCGCAGCATTCCTGAAATTGAAAGTAAAGGTTGGTACTTTCAAAATTTCGCTTCCAAGGAATATAAAATTAAACTAAAAATTCATTTGAATTCAAGAGTTCAAGCAAATTTGAAGGGTGGATTACCAAGTAAAATTCTGACAGTATTTCAGAATATTTTGTGAGAATTTTGCATTTTCTGTTTTAGGAAGTAAATAAAGGTAAGAAAAATCAAGGGAAGGAGAAGTTATTGAATAAGAAGAGACTGCTGAATAAGGAGAAGAAAAAGAAAAGTAAAGAAAGGGTATGAATTTTTGCTATTTGGATCCTTCGGCAATATATATCACAATTTTTGACTTTGAGCAGAATAAAAACTTATTTAACGTGTCGTTGCCCAGCTATATAGTCACTCTTTATTACCATTTACGTTAGTCTATCGTTGGATAAATTCTTGATGATTTGAGTAACCTGGTATTGGTTAGTAAATACTAGTTTTTCTGTTTTAGTTAAATTATTGAATACTTTTGTTTGGTTTCACTCTAGCCAACATTAGCCACTCCTACGTCACGGAAAAGTGAATATTTCCAGTTTTTTGGAAGATTTTCAAGATGAATTTGAAAATTTTGCAACTTGACTAACATTTATATAATTAGCATAATGGTTTAGTTCGCCAAACAGCTGAAGAAACTGGAGGCTGATTTGAAAGAAGTTGAAGCAGCTGAATCTATTTCAGCAAAACTGTCGTTCGTAAGTTTTTTATGCATGAAATAATATAATATTATATGATATAACATTATGTGATTATATGATTAGAATTATATGATTATATGTTATATGATTCGAATTATACGATTAGAATGATATAATGTTATTATCATGAAATGCTTTACTGAGTTTTAAATTTCATTCTTTTCTTCAAAAATTAATTCTTGCTTGGTGAAAAATGATTTATTTTGTTAGTTTGTGTTTCGAATTCAAAAGATAGGAGAATTTTTTAGCAGAAGCAGCAAAGAACGGGGCACTCAAATGGAGTACCACCACTTGTAAAGTAAATTCCTATCAGTTAGTAAAACCGGAATTGCTGTCTCAGATATGAGTAATTTAAACATGGAATTTAGGCAACCGAAACAATGAATCACGTATTTGCAACATACTTTCGTGTCATAAAGCGATTACCCACGACAAATTTATTGGAACCAGTACTAGAAGGTTTGGCTAAATTTGCGCATTTAATCAACGTCGAATTCTTTGATGACATGATATCTGCATTATCATCACTCATCAATCAGCAGGTTTGAGGTTTTCTTCTACTTGCTTCTCAAGTGTAGTTCATTTAAAACGAACACAACTACCTGGTGATAAATGTCTTGAAAAACTTTACGTTGTGGGATTAAAATGTGGGAAAACATTTATACGTTTTGGGCGCAGAGTTAAATCCATCAAGAGGATTGTAAGAAAAGGAACGAGTTCTATAAGTAATCAAATTCATAACCACAAAAGATTTAGATTCACCTAGAAATTTCTTCGCTTTCAAATCCCAAATTTTAACCACAGATCCAACTGCAGCACAAAGGCAAGGCAGATTAGGTGAGAGTGCCAGCATGGATAACTAATCATTGGACAGATAGGTCCCTCTCTGGAGTGATTCAATTTTCCGTTTGGAGAATTATAATGCCAAAAAGAAATATGGTAAGCCAAAACAATTGTTCGCTTGCGGAAAATTCTGAATGGGGGATTTTTCAATTGCTCAACCATCGTAGCTAAAATTTTTTAAAGGGCAATATCGTATTTTTTAGTGCATATGATGATTCAACATTAAGTAATGCAGTATTTTAGCATCTTCGACTAGTGGATTCGTTACGATGCATATATACATCATTTGTTATGCTTTTCGGTGAAGGTGTTGCTTTGAATATTGACCCATCTCGATTTTATTGGTCGATGTACCGTTTATTACCTTCTTTAGCATTTGAAAAGCAGCAAGGTCTATTTGTTTTAATTGGGTTATTAAACATTTATTTATATTACTTTTATTAAGTATATTTGCTGACTTAACATCCATTTCGATCAATTAGTTATTTACTTTCGTTGTCAAGTAAATTTGAATTTTTATTAATATCAGTTATTTTATCGTGAATCAATAGCAGAGCAGTTTTTCAGATGCACTTGCAAACACATTATCGCTGACTTTACGTACGTTAGATTTAATGATTAACTCCCGTCGTAAACAAGTTCCGGTGTGTCGTGTAGCCGCTTACACCAAACGTTTATTAGCGCTAGCGTTTTTCCTACCCTCTTCTGGCGCAGCATCTATTTTATTGTGTATCAGATCTTTTTTCATTGTAAGTTTTTATTGCTTTCATCTACCAACATATTTTTCGCAGTTTTTTCCATTAATTTGTTTTTTATGAAAGCGAAAGAGGGGCCTTGTTGCGAAAAATTTCAGTATGGAATTGTCAGAAACTGTATCGTTAAACACTGTAATATATTCAGTATATAATTTTGAGAGTCTGAGAAGTAATTAGTACTTTTAGAGGTCCAAAATTCTCATTAATTTAGCTGATTTTTACACCGATTTATTTGCCTATAAAAAAAATACAAATAAAAATAAAAGGGATTGTTAAGAAATTGCGAGTCTCTCTTTATCTCTCGTATGTTTTTTGTGAGCAAGTAAATAAATGGAAAAAGCTGTTAAATTACTTTTTTATATTTGGGATTTGAATCAAGTTCGATAATACAGCTACTGCAGTGCAGCCAAGATAGCAGTAATTTTAAATTATGGTGCATTAATTTGTTTCTTGATCCTGTTCATTTTGTTTAAAAGTAACAAAAGCAGCCACTTGCGCTGTATTCATGAGTTAATAACTAACAGCTATAATTAACATCACCAAAATATGCGTCTTTGCTAAAGTATTGATTTTTTCGTTTTTCATTTATTGGCAAAAAATGTTATCGAAGAAATCGTGGTGAAGTAGATCAAACTCTATGGCCTGCTGAGGATATTTGATAACTCAAAATTTCTTAGCAGAAATAACTATTTAATTATTTTTAAATCGAACATGTAGGCTTATCCGAAACTAGACTGCATGATGGAAAATACAGATGGGAGCTCTTATATTGAGTCTTTCAAGCCAGAACTTGACGATCCAGATTGTTGTGGTGGACTTTCTTCATCAATAATCGCCGAAATAAACATCTTTGCTAGAGTATCTTTTTTATTTGTCATTTACCTTTAGGCAGAAAATGTTACAGAGAGAATTGTACTGAAGTTGATGAAGTTTATGATCTGTCAAACATTTTGCAATATCGAAATTTTCTAGTAGTTTCTCTAGGTAATAAATGATTGATCAAGTAGGTTTTCTGTTTTTTATATTTATCTGAGGAAAAAATCATTTTCATGACAGCTTCTTTGTTGCTGTATGCTTTATATTTTTATGTTTCAATGCTTTGATATTTTTAGCATTCCGACAAAACAGTTAGAATGATAGCACGATATCTTCAGTCTGGCTTGCCGTCTTCAGGACCGAATTGTCTGTTGCTGAAATATTCAATGAAGTTAGTTCGGAATTAAGAGAGGAAAGAGCTATTAAAGATTAATTACTTCGTGCGATTTTTTTACTCATGCTACATTAGTGGTTAAAGTGAACTGTTCAGTTATTGTTCCTTCTATTGTAGTAATTCCCAAAAAAAAAATTTGGATTTTTGAGGAAAGCATACGAGTGGTATGAAGAAAACAAGAATGCGGGTGGAGTTGATGACGAGCCTTTTTTATGAAACATATCATTGCTTTCGCAACGGTTTTTTTTATTCATTTGATATTAAGGAAATGTCGGAACTTTGGCTTTTTCTGTATTTCTAATTTTTCAAGAAAGAATATTTTGGTATTTCTCATTTACATTTTCAAGGTAAAATGAATATTATTTACAAAGTATCTTTTCAGAAGCATAAGTTGCAACTGACATCAAAGACGTTGCATCCGTTAGTGTGCAAATGGGCTGAAGAAAACATAGAGAGGAAGTTATAAGTGTATGCAAATTTGTTATTATTATTGTGTTTTGAAATTGTAACATTTTGTTAAGTTTGATGAATAGAACTTTTTCTTTGTTCACTCTGTGGCTTTTTTAATTAATTGATCTTCGGTTTCAACCAGGATTTTCATGTTTTTATCAAATTGGGTGGAAATTATTCATGAAGATTTTTTTAAAGGATAGTTTATGATTTAAATGGACGATGCTGAACGTTTTTTCACCGGAATAATTTTCAACTGATTTTATTCAGAAGGGTAGAATAATAGTCACTCATATGTTTGCAACAAAAAGAAAGTAAAGAATATACCGTCATTTTTTTCTGTTCCTTTGTATTTGCTGGAATAATCCTCTTAAATTTGAGCTATCATTATAGCATCTTCGTTAATTTTTTTCTGTTTATCGTCTCTGTTATTGTAACAATCACAGGAAAGTTAAAATACAAATAAATTTCACAATTACCATAATATTAAATTAAACAGTAAAAAAATCTTCAGAACTATGACAAATATTAAGCATAGCATGCAAAATTGTTTATTTCATGATTTACTTGCTTTGTTAGATTTTGAATTTTTTCGCAAAATTACCATCAGCATAATAATGTCTAAAGATAGGACTATTGATTGGTTTTTTGGAATTCTTAATTGTAAATCATCTGATGAAGAAGGGAGAGAGAGAGAGAGAGAAATAAATAATGCTAGAATACCTGACAATTGGTCGTTCTGCCTCATAAATTGTATTTTTTTTGTCAAACAGATTTCTAATTAAAGTTAAAGATATTGGTTGGTTGGAAAGATCATAGATTTCCTTTAGACAATTTTTTGTTCAATAATTTACATTTATTCGAAATTGCTTTTCCATAATTGTTCAGAAAAAATAATAATAATGAAGAAAATGTTATATATAGGTGGTATAATTTTTGAGGTGAATTACAAATTCTGTAAATCATTCGGTCTAAATTGAATCGGATTTGAGCAAAGTTTTTCACAGGAGAAAATGGATATGAAAAATACCAGAAATAAGCAATTTCAGATCAATCAGAAACTCTTCAATTGGTATGAAACATTAATTTGAGGATTGTATTCATATGTTTTTAACCTATTTGTCGAAATGCAATACAGGTCACATCACCTTTCGTAGCTTCGCAATATAAATTAGAGCTGTACACATAGGAGAAATGACCTTTCGAGCAAATCACATCAATGGTACCACCAAATTTTGCTTGTGCTCGATCATTTATAGCACGTTTTGATATTGATGAATTATCACTAATACTCTAAAACTTCCTTCCTTCAACATTTAAGAAATTATCAATATTTTTTCATGCAAAACAACCAGAAAATCATATGTTATCCTTTTTCTGATTCAACAATCGGTTCCATTCCGGATTGCTTCCTCAATTCGGTTAATTTTCCAGGGAAAAAGTCAAATCTTTGCGTGAGTTCTAAAAAGAAAAACAAAAAACATTGATAATAATACCTCAAACATAAGTTCCCTTAATTCTTGGCTATTGCATTTGGCGTCCATTTTGGTTTCCGAATGACCTTTAATTATTCTCGACAATTTTGGTTGATTCTTATCTATAACATTTTCAGTGGAAATTCCTTGGCTTCGTGCTGTTCGGCTAATTATGACATTTTGTCTTGGCGCTATTATCAAGTCTGAATCATCTTCCTGAAGATAAAATTGAAAGAAATGAAAAGTGACGGCTAAAAAAAAACAATCATAGATCAGTTTTTGACCAAGGAAGTCCAAATGTAATATTTAAAAAGTAAAGATCAAAGATTGACCTTTATTGTATTATTATTTGAGCTTTTCTGGATGTTATATTTGACATTGTAAGAAACATTATTCTGAATTTGCCGGGATAAAATAAGATCAAATCATTAAATATGAAAAAGTCTGCTACTATTTACTATCCTGCTCAAAGTTACGTCCGGTTTGCCTGGAATATCCAAGCAGAATGACCGGATTTAATATTTTCAAGAAAACTGACATATCCAAAATACCACAGTGTTCTGTGGATTATTCACTAAGTTATCAGTTTTTGTGATATGTTATGAATGCATACCGGACATGATTATGTTAGTCTACTATCAAACGATATCTTTCCGATTGTTGCATATCTTTCCGATATCTTACCGACCTTATGTTGCATACATTTTCTTTTCCGGTTTTATGCTTTTATCAGCAGTCATTTTTATGAGGCATTTTTTTCTTATATTCGTGCAACATATTATTCATCAAATAAATATCAAAATTATTTATCATCATCCGGAATAAAAAGGAAAGTTATCTAGCAATGTAGATTTAGTGATAGATGTAATATGTATATATGATCAATTATCACTTAAATGATCAATCAGTGATCTATTTTTATTTCCAGGAGGATTTCAGATTACTGATATTAGCGATCATTATAAATCATTATGCGACCATTAGCGATCTGTGCGAATCATCATTGATAGCTATAATACAATGTGTTACTCTCCAGTTAAGGTATGTTGTAGAATGTACTATTGTAGTTAGTAATTATTTGATGTCACTAATTTATAGATTCACCTCATAGTCCGATACTGATTTGATACTGAATGATGACCGAAAAATTTTCATGTCATCCATTGTGTTCATCTTAAGCAAATACTGCTTAAGGAGGATAAAAAAAATCTGATCATCCTGATCATCTGATCAAAATTTGATCATTCTGACCATTCTGATCATCAAAAATCTGATCATTCTGATCAACTGTTAGTAATTGAATTTATTTATTTTGATAATAATTGTACAGGTGAGCTTTGTACCTTTGTGGAACGCTTTAGGATACGTGATAATTTACGACCTTTTACGTTTGATATTGGTAGTTCTTCTTGTTTGTTCTGAAATATGCAAAAAATAAAAATAAAAGTAAATGAACAAATAGATCATTTATTTATTATTTGCTTTTTTTTTTGAGTATTTAGGAGTGGTTGAAATTTAATGAATAATGAATTAATTGAATAAATAACAAAAATGAAACAATGAAAAGAAGAAATCTGTTAGAAAATTTATTTTTAAAATTGTTCAATTGATAAGATAATGTAAAAGCAACGAAAAAAACAAAAAGAATATGCTTAAATTTTTGTATTTTAAAAAAATTAAAAACTTTACCAATTTTAGTTTGCCAAGTTGAATTTTTTTACTGATCCGTTGATTAATACTGTTAGTTGATGATCCATTTGAACAATGTATTGATCGTATACATGATGATGATGATGATTGACAGTTACAATTCGATTTCAGATTGTTTAGTGAAATTGCAGTAACTGGTATCAGAAGCAATGTGAAATGATTTAACATTCTAGTAGTACCAAATGGAAGGATCTAAATTTCATTTTTTTTTTTTATACTATAAGCATAAATGTTTTAATAAAATATAATGCAAAGGTTTTTTTTTTTTGCTGCTGCAAATTTATTTGTAATAATAAAATAAAATGTTTTATTAAAATTTTGCAAATTATTTTTGTAAATTTTATTTTAATATTCTTTAAAAATTGTATGATTATTATCGGATATGTTCTAGAAAAAGAAAGAAAGCGCAGTTGGAATCTTAAATACAGATTGATATACATTACTTTATCAAGTTGTAAAAAAAAAATTTCTAATATAAATTAAAAAAAAGTGGCATATAAAATGAATCGATCTAATTGATGCACAAGAAAAAAAGTGTAAGTAAGCAGTAAAAGCAATAATTCTTAAAAAAAATTTTAGAAATAAAATATTTAAATAAAAAACAAATTACATTAACTTATATTTTCCTTTCATATACCAAATAATGAAAAAGATAAAATAATAGTTTAAAGGTGAAATTAAGTTTAAGATTGCAAGAATAAAATGAATAGTCTAATTAGTTGTATCATTTTAAAAGATTAAAATAATTATTTTATAGTATATTTGCTTTTATATCAACTAATTTTGTTTAATTTTTCTCGAAAAATTAAGCCGTAAAATTTTTTTTGCAAAATATTTCTTCCTGGTATATTCAACATTTTTCATATTTTATTCGAATATTCAATTTTCGAAAAGAAATCTTCAACTTTTTGGAAATATATTTAAAGATAAAAGAATGAGGGAAAAGTTTTTAAGCGTAAAAGTTGACGATGTGATGCTGATGATAATGAAGATGATAATAATGATGATTTTATGTGAAAATTTGGAAAGAGATGATCAAAGGAATGTTGATTACAACCGGATGAAAATGAGGTTACCATTAATATCACATCGTGAATCAAACAATGTCACCAAATGGCAGCAAATTTGCATTCATTTACCATCGTTATCCTCCCTTTACAAGAAAATAAAACTTTTCTTAAAAAAAAAACACGCATATAATCTTATTATCATTTCTTTCTCTTTCTCCTTTTTTCTCTTTCATTCTCTTACAATAAATTTTATAAAAATGTTTGCTCAAATTTCTTTGACATGATTCATCGCCTTTTTTTTTCAAAAAAAAAAAACATATTAATTGACAGACAGAAAGATTTTGCAAATTAAAAAGTAAAATTGAAATAATATTGAAAAAAAATTTATATAATTATTCCCATTGTTGCAAAAAAAAAAGAAAGATGAAATTAATGATAGCAAAATGATAAGATAATACTTGCCTTATCTCTTCCCTTTTGCTCATTCTTAGTGCAATATATCAGCATTAGATAATTTATTTTATTAAATAATAAATTAAGAGAAGCTATAACAATTAAAGAGAGATTTTTGCATGAACAATAAATACGATTGATTAATTACATATTTTAATTATAGATATTGTAATTTTGATTAAATGAGCATATTTATGTGGTGAGAATGCGATGGATAACAATTTAACTAACAAATTGTCGTTTACGAAATTTTTTTTTTAAAAAAAAAAAGACAATCCGGAATAGTTAAAAATGTACAACAAGAAAAAAAGACAATCCGGAATAGTTAAAAATGTACAACAAGAAAAAAAAGACAATCCGGAATAGTTAAAAATGTACAACAAAAAAAAGAAAAGAAGGAACGAAATTTTCGATTAATTAAAATGTGATATCATTCATTATTATTCGTAATAATAGCAATGCATTCTGAACAAAATTATTTCATTAAATAGTTTAACATTTCCATATTATATTTATGTTTTATCATTGATTGATTATTATTCAGATGAATTTTAGTAAGAGTTCTTTATCTTTCCTTCTTTTTTTTTATCGTACATATTTTTGCTCTTTTTTTTAAATTCATTTAATTTTTGAAATTTCAACAAATTTCAAGAGTAACTTCTCAGTTATCTTGACAAATACAATATGACGTTTTTTTTCTTTTTTTTAATCGTTGTGACATGATGAAAAAATGCAGAAAGTAGTACTGATGCCCTTTCTTTTTATACATATAGAAATTAGAAACGAATGAGTTTACTTTGAAATTCATTCATTTTACTCAATTATGATTGAAAATTGCTGAATTATTTTGATTTAATATAATATTATGACTCATATATTTGACAGGAAAATTGATTATTAAATTATTATCAAAGATAATCCTGAATTTTTCTCTAGTAATTTAATAGAAACAAGTAATTTCGGTTTTTTTTGGTAAACAAATACAAAGCTATTCTCATCGTAAGCAATATCATCTTACTGAATATATGCAATCATGATTCACAGGTC